TGTTGGTTAGGTGTGGGTGTAGGTGCGGGTGTGAGTGTCAGTGGTGGGTGTGGGTGTGTGGGGTGTGGGGTGTGGGTGTGTGGGGTGTGGGTGTGGGTGGGTGGATGTCGGTGTGGGTGTGGGTGTGGGTGTGGGGTGAGTGTGGGTGTGCTTGTGGATTTGAGTGTGGGTGTGGGTGTGGGTGCGGGTGTGTGTGGGTGTGGGGTGTGGGTGTGGACGTGGGAGTGAGTGTGGGGTGTGGGTGTGAATATGCGTCTGATTCACACCCCACACCCCACACCTACATCCACACCCCACACCCCACACCCCACACCTACATCCACATCCCACACCCCACACCCCACACCTACATCCACACCCCACACCCCACACCTGCATCCACATTCCACACCCCACACCAGAGATGGAACCGGTACCGGTTACCGGCCGGTCCGGTCCGGTCCGGTACCGGTACGGATTTCAGACCGGCCGGTAACCGGTAGACCGGTCTATCTTTTTTCTTTCCTGGTTTTATTGCATAAACTAGTTAAATCTGCGAAATCTTGATGCTATCTTGTACAGAATACGTATGAAAATTTCGGTGGAAGTCGATTGCCTGAACTATCACTATCGAAAAGATAGAATTTATATTGGTAAAAATTGTGTACCGGCCGGTCTACCGGTAACTGGCCGGTCTACCGGTAGACCGGTCGTGACCGGTAGACCGGCCGGTCACCGGTAGACCGGTCGATTACCGGTAGACCGGTCAATTGCGGGTAGACCGGTCGAACCGGTAGACCGGCCGGTCCGGTCCGGTCTGACCTGTTTGGACCGGTACCGGTACCGGTCTTCAAAAATCCAGACCGGTGCCATCTCTGCCCCACACCCCACACCTACATCTACAACCCACACCCACCCACATCCGGTGTGCTGGCGATATCCTCTTCAACCCACACTCACACCCCAACCATACCCATGCCCATACTCGACATCCACATCTTCAAGCTCTACACAAATCACTATTCATTATCTTTTTTTCTTTCGTTTGACGTTTGGAAAATTTTGGTTTCTTTACTCGTGTTTCTTAAAAACAAGGTTTTTCTACATTGTAAATATCATAACTCAGCTACAGTATCAGCTAGAGAGCTGAAATTTCGTGTTGCAGTAAGACATTCAAAAATTTATAACACATTAAAGAACATGTGATAATGGAGAGCTCGCATGTAGTTGAGCCATTTATACATTTGTGAAAAATTATTCCTCGTCTTTCGAGTAGTGATCGAATCAGAGTGAAGAAGAGAGAAAGCTTTTACTTTTTTGGAACATTCCATATCACGAGACAAGGAGCTACAGACTGGAAATAAATTTCACGAAAACATGGAGATCTCCTTAGAATTTTGTGTTAAGCAGTTTCCTCTTTGAAAGCTTAACATTTCAATCATTGGAAATAATTGTCGACACGAAAGAATTCTTACAAAGTCCTTTTTTTAAAGACTGAGTTACGGAAAGTACTATCTTGTGTATGAGAAACAAAGATCTCTTCGACAGTGATTATTCATTTTCTTTTTCTTTGTTCATTGTAGTTATTCCCAATATTCTACTTGATGCTGGTTGGTCACTGGATGGAAAGACTGTTGCTGGAGGGAATGGAGAAGGCGATGCCACGAATCAACTCAAAAGGACTAGTGGTATCTTCGTTGATGATGATCAAACTATGATCATTGCTGACTCCGGGAATAATCGTATCGTCCAATGGAAGATGGGTGATACGAATGGACAAGTCGTAGCTGGTGGCAAGGGCAACGGAAATCGATTGGATCAATTGGATCGTCCAACTGATGTGCTAATCGATAAAGTGACTGATAGTCTCATTATCTGCGATCGGAGAAATCGACGAGTCGTACGATGGTCTCGTCGTAGTGGCACAACTCAAGGTGAACTCCTGATTGATAACATCAAGTGTTGGGGATTGTTCATGGATGGTCAGAGATATCTCTACGTCTCTGTCTACAAAAAACATGAAGTACGACGATATCAAATAGGAGACAAGAATGGAGTTATTGTGGCTGGTGGGAATGGAGCCGGTGCTGGCCTCAATCAACTCAACTATCCGACCTACATCTTTGTCGATCAACAACAGACTGTCTACGTGTCAGACTTCCACAATCATCGCATAATGAAATGGAATAAAGATGAAAAAAAAGGCATTATCGTCGCTGGAGGTCAAGGCGAAGGGAATGCTCTGACACAATTGTCGTATCCTAACGGACTCTTCGTCGATAAGTTGGGTACCATCTATGTGGCAGATCGGTCGAATCATCGAGTGATGCGTTGGCCTAAAGGAGCAAAACAAGGTACTGTCATTGTGGACGGAAATGGTCAAGGAGCAGGAGCAAATCAGTTGAGCTACCCTGATGGTTTATCCTTCGACCGACATGGCAATATTTATGTCGTCGACTATAATAATCACCGTATTCAGTTTTATTCTATTCAATAAATTGCACTTGAATCCAATTTTTTTTTCTTTGTTTTCACACGCGCGCGCGACTAGAAACCATCCTGATGGAGCTGTGGCGAGCGTAACGAATGTGGGTGTGGAGTGTGGGTGTGGGTATGGGTGTGGGTGTGGGTGTGGGTGTGGGTGAGGGTGTGGGTGTGGGTGTGGGTCTGTGGGTATAAGAATGAGATACAAAGTTTGACCCACACCCACACCCCACACCCACACCCACACCCACACCCAC